AGCCCAGCTCAGCCTCGGCTGGATGGCAGAGGGATGGGGAGGCAGAGGGGACAGGGAACAGAAGCGGAGCCAGGTACATGAAGAGCATCGGCTGCTGGGAACAATGTGGGCCCCAATCAGGGGGCCCTTCACCCATCTGAAGCCACTGGGCTGCCTCCTCGGCCGCCTGGCCCGGCTCCGGTGCGGTCACGGCCCAGACACAGCAGCCACTGTCCGCCCAGCTGCAGGGTGGGGCACCTGGGCCCCAGGCCCGTTCTGTGGCCTGTCAGGAGATTTACACCCGACTCTTAACAACCGCGCGGAATCGCAGGCGGGTGCTGGGCCCCGGGTGGTCTGCCTTGAATCGGCCCCCTGTGAGCAGATGAAAGCTGGTCGGTGGCTGGGCTGGGAAACAGGCTGGCAGGGGGCCAGCGGGCAGGGAGGCAGGCGGCTCCCTCCCAGGGCTGCGACTGGGGCTTCCAGCGGCCTGGGGTTGATTAGGGGAGCCCGGGAGGTCTGAGGTTAACCCCTTCCCTCCTGCTGGGTGCACCCCCCTGGGACTCTAGGGGGTCTGGCAGCAGGGGCCCAGGAGCCGATGCATCTCTTAAATCCAGGCCTTCCTCTGCCTCCCCACACCTGGAGCTGAGAACGCAACTGCAGCAACTTTGGGACCCTCAAGGGCCCAGCTAGGGGCATAGGGTCACTCTTCCTGCCCATGCTGTCTAGAGACCCTGGCAGCCACAGCAGCTGTTTGCTCCCTTCCTTCAGACCTCTCGGGTCAAATGTCACCTCCTCTGTCGCCTCCTTGAGAGGCTTCCCCAGGGTCCCCTCCCGGCCTACAGCCTACCCCTGTGCTCTCTACACCTCCCCCCAGCTTTGTTTTTCTCCATAAGACTTCTCACTACCTGAGATTCGGCCGACTCATCATGTATTTACTTCGTTTATTCAACAAATATTTACTGAGCGCCTACTAAGCACTCATGTCTGTACTCCAGGGTCTATGCCCGCACCTGGCAAAGCAGAGGAAAGAACTTCTGCCCCATGGAGCATATATAATGGTGAGGGGGGATGAGAAATAAATGAAATAAATGAGTGAATTCTATTGCACCCTGGAAGGTGATCAGGGTTCTACATCAAATTGAGGCTGGTAAGCAGTGGGTGCAGGTGCGTGATCTGAAACAGCATGGCGGTGGTGGGGTGGGGGTCACTGAGAAGTTTGAGTAAAGACTTCATTCAGGGTGGGAAAGTACAAGCCATGCATCCGGGGGTGTCTGGGAAGTGTTTCAGAGAGAGAGAATAGCAGTGCAAAGGCCCTGAGGTAGCGATGTGGCTGCCCAGTTGGCAGACCAGCCAGGAGGCCAGGGTGGCCAGAGTGGGGTGAGCAAGAAGGATGTCAGAGAGGAAGTCAGGGGGTAACGAGCACAGATCAGGTGGGGCGCTGTGGCCACAGTGACAACAGAACTATTTATACCATCTTTCCCCACCTCTAATGGATAAGACCCAATTGGGACGGAGCCTGTCTGCTGGGTTCACTGTGGCATTCCTAGCTTCTAGAACAGTGTCAGACACAAGAAAGGTGCCCAGGAAAATATTTGTTGAAACCGTTCCATGTACATTTTTGGGAAGAAAGGGCCCACAGGCAAGATGCTGCACTGACCCCCTCTTTGCCTCTGGCAGGATTAAAATCTTGGGTCCCCCCCTTTCAGGTACCAGCACCTGCTAAGCCTGGAAGGTGGGGCGAGTGGTTGGGAACCCACGGTCTGTGCCAGAATCGCCAGGCACTGGGCTGCCTCCTGCCCAGATCCTGCCTGAACACCTGCTTTTTAACCAGCCCCCGGTGACTCGGAGGGACACCAGCACTGAGAACCTCAGAAACCGAGGCCACACAGGCAGGAAGCCACCAAGCCAGCCTTCAAACCCCGCCAGCCACCTGGCGGCATATCGGGCCTGCTCTGCAGGGCACCAGAGGGGAACGACCCGGCCGCAGGACCCACAGCCGCGCCTCTGGGATCAGCAGACTCCTGCTCTGCGGCTCCCAGGACCAGGCCCTGCTCCCAGCCCTACCCCATAAAGGCTCGACCCTCACATGGGGCCCCGCAGGAGTCACAAAGCAGGAGAAGAGCTCAGAAAGGAAATCCTGTGATAATCCATGAGGGTTTGGGTACTTCCTGTGGGCTGGGCAGCTGCAAGCTCCTTTAACGCTCAGGACAACCCCCCAGAGCAGATGCTAATGTCATCCTCATTTCACAGATGAGTACAGCAAGGTAGGAAGGCCCTTCCGAGTGGCCCTCACTTCCCTGAGCCCCAGACTGGAGCCCAGGGGGCGCACTGAAGCTCACCCTTGGGCAAGTGGCTCTGCCCCCTGGGGTGCCTGAAGACCTGTTCACAGGGACTCAGCACCAGGCCTGGCACACGGGGAGTGCTTGGCGACCGACAGCATTGAGCTGGTCTCTTACCTCTTACAGGTGGGGAAACAGAGGCCCAGAAAGCAGAAGGACCTGCCTGAGGTCACAGACAAGGCCAGGCTGGGGTTAGAAGCCAGGCTGCGGGTTGGACCTGGCCTGAAGGCCTGGGGGGGCAGGAGCAAGCAGGTCCTCGGGACGGGAGACCTGGGGAGCTGCCTGCTTCCACAGCTGCTCTTTTCTATAAATAAGTTTCTGCTAAGATTCTGTCTGAACAAGTCTCTTTAAAGAGACTTAGAGGCCCAGAGAAGGGTGCCATTTGCCTCAGGCCACACAGCAAGCCTGGCCTCTGTCTCCAGCCCATCTCCTGGCCTGGCTTCTCTTTCCTTCCTTTTGCTGCCTCCCCTGCCTCTGGCCTCAGCTGCCTTGTCCTGTGCCTCCTCCCCCCCCCCCCCCCCCCCCCCCCCCCCCCCCCCCCCCCCCCCCCCCCCCCCCCCCCCCCCCGCCCCCTCAGGCCTTCCCCTATCAATTCACCCCCAGAAGGGCTGTCTCAGGTCTGGGGACCCCAGGAGAGAAGAGCCGGCAGGGCATTGGAACTGGGGGCTCCCAAAGGCAGGGCCACACCTCTACCCTTATCCAGGGCCCTCAAGGGGGAGGGTGGGCAGCTCTGGGCTGAGCAGGGCTGGAGAGGGTTTGGAGGGATTCCGGGCATTGCTGGGTCCCTGGGAACACTCCGAGCAAGTTCCGGGAGCCCCCCTTCTCGTGCCACTATGGCCGGGGTGCTCACTGCCGTGTGGAGGCTCCTAAGTGCAGCAGCATCACTGGGAAGCTGACCGTGGCCCCCGTCCATCCTGATTCTGCCCCTGGAGACAGAGCGGCAGGTCACCTTTCTTAGACCTTTATGGCCACGGCTTGAGGTTCTCAGCAGCCACCCTGCTGGTGACTAAGAGTTGCTGTCCACTGACGGTGTTAGTGGTGGAGCAGCACGGTGGTGGCCGGGACCCTGGGACTCTCCAGGACCCTCCCCCTGCCACAGCCAGATGCTATCCACATGCCCTCACTGATCTCTAGGCCTACAGTGTGGGTGGTATCACCTCACTTCCTGGAGGAGGGGGCTGTGGCCGCTGAAAAAGGCCAGCAATCTGCCCAAGGTCCCCAACCAGGCAGTCTGTCTTCTGCATCATGGTGGCTTACGGCTTGCGAGGGCTTCACAACATCACCACCTTGAGCCTCTTGGGATCACTAACTCAGTTCACAGATGACAAAACTGGGGCCAAGAAGACAACACAACTTGTCCAGGGCCGGGAAGCCCAAGGCGGGGGGCACGGACCCATCCATATCCAATCCTGGCAGGAATCATGCTGGAGCAGATGCCTGCCTATGGGTCAGGTGACCATGTGAGGGGGCGAAGGGAGGTGGAGGAGGAGGCTCTGAGAGCCTGCAGGGAGAGTCACCCAGGGTCACTGGGCACACCTTTAAGCCTGTCCCAAGTGGCCAGACACTGGAGTGGGCCCAGCAATGGACAGATGGGGAGCTAGGTCAGTCCGATTCCCAAGAGGGAAGGGGCTGGCCCTGGGCCAGGCCTGGGTGGCCCGCGCTGACGACACCCTGGCCGAGTCACATCCTCCTTCTGAGCCTCCTGGGCTCAGGTCCCCATCCTGTCTTCCTGGCCCAAGTCCACCCAGCTTGGAATGGAAATGGAAGACTGGCTCTGGGAAGACAGGCAGGGCACCTCCCAGCACCGCAGGCCAGGGGAGGTCCTGGCAGGTCCTCAACGTCCCCTGGCCTGGACCAATCAGCACTCTGCTCAGGGCTCAAAAAGCAGCCAGTCCAGAAAAGGCCGTTTCATTCATTCACTCACCCATTCGTTCAGTGAATACAGGCCTCTGGCCCCCTCTGGCGGCTGCCCCTCCCATCTCTATACCCTACATCTGCAAGCAGCAGGTGTGTCAGCAGGCAGAAGCAACTGAACATAAACTCTGTCTGATGCTAAAAGGCACACGTCAGGATGCCCTGCGCAGTGTAGGTGCTCAGTAAATCTCGGCAGAATCAAGTCTGCATTCTCGGGTGTGGATTTTGGGGTCAGAGTGCCCAGGCTGCGTGTAACTTCAGTCCCATACGGAGATGCAAAGAGAGTTTCCAAGGAGGGGATGTGGCCTCACAGCCGCCCCGCTCCTGTGTTTGAGGGCTCCCTCCCTCAGTCCCTGGCAGAGGAAGCCGGGGGCAGGGCAGAGTAAACCTGGCTGATCTCCCCCACCCCCAACACTCACAAACACCCTATGGAAGACTTTTCCATTCAGTTCCTTTCCTTAACAGATGCAAATCGCAAATCCATACTCTCTCAGCCGCTCCCAGTGGGCTGTCTGGGGGTCAAGCCTGCTCTGCCATTTCCCCTTCCCAGCGTCCTTGCTGGCTGCCCTCCAGCGGTCCAGGGCAAAGCACGCGGGGTTGGGCTTGCTGGCAGGCACCTGCAGTGCGCGAGGATGCAGAACCCAGGACTGCAGTCCTCAACGGAGTGCTTCAGGGAACCACTGCCACTGTCTGACCTCGGCTGCTGCCCTTCCCCCAGCTGGACCCTCCTCCCCACCGCCCAGAGGGCTCAGTGGCTCTGGCACTTACGTCTGGGTTCCCGGGGTCCATCCACGGTCACCTTGATGGCTCGGTGGTAGGTGGCCACTTGGGTGGGGTTGGTGAATACGGTGATGGTCAATGTGAAACTCTTCCCTGGGGGAGAAAAGTGGAGAATAAAGGCGGGAGGTTGGCACCTGGAGCTGTGAACAACACCCCTTTCTCCCTTCCGGAAGGGGCAGATCTCTCTCCTTTGAACCGGGGTGGATGATGGGGCTCTGGGTGAAGCTCTAGCTGCTGGCCTTGGCATTCAAGGCCCCAGGAGGTCTGGCACCAACTTTATCATCTTCCCCCACCCCATGCTCTGGCCACCCTGCTGGTTTTCTCCCTGCTTCCTGGCCTTTGTGCTGTTCCTTCTGTCCAGTGACCCTTGCGATTTGGAGGTGGGGAGCTTCCCAAGTATATGTATAAAAAGCGGACACATGTTTTTCCTAGAAAACTTGGGGAACAGAAAAATCACCCACGGTTCCACTAGCCAGAAATAAACACTATTAACATTTGGGTGTTTCCCCCTCTAATCCTTTTTGTGTGCGTAACGTGTATTTACAGAGTTGCAATGATACCAAAATACATATTTTCATACCCTGGTTTTGTTTTCCTTCATTTAACCTCACATCATAAGCATTTTCTCATGTCGTTAAAAATTCCTCATAAACTTCCTTTTTAATGGCTGCAAACTATTTCAACTCACAGAAGCCTCCTCTTTTATTTATCTGTCCTACTCTCTGGGGCTGATGTCCCCGCTGGCTTCTCACTGGCGAGTGCAGCCGGGGCTGAAAAGGGGCTGATTTGGGAGCTGCCGACATTTCATGTGTAGACACAACTGTTATTTCCAGAACTCTGTTCTATTTTTAGATAGACATTTGGCTCCAAAGTCTCCATTCAAAATTCCTGAGAGGAAAAACTTTTAAAATAAAAAAAAAATTTTTTTTTTTTACCATTTAAAATAAAACGAAATTGACCTTTTGTTTATAAAAAATCTTTGTCTACATCTCTGTTTATTTCCTTAGAAAAGATTCCAAGAAGCGGTGAGTGATTTCATCGCATCAGAGGGTTGGGCCATTGATCTCTCCAGTGAGATGGTGCTCCAGAGAGTCACCGTGACTGACCATGACAGATGCGAGGCCCCGTCTCTGCGCGGTGATGAGCACAGCTTAGCGGTGAGTGTGGCCGCCTATCAAGGTGGAAGTTCTTACACGCTCCCGACTCCGTTTGCCTCTCTGCCGTGCCCAGTGGGACTGAACGTTTTGACACGTTCTTCTGTCTCTGTCCTGACCCGACACAAATGATCGCTTCAATGTTCTCTTATACTTTCCTATTGGCATTTTGGTGCCTTTTAGAAATCGCGCTGCAGTAGCCCGGGAGCGCTTTCCCCGCCCTTTCTGTGGCCGTCAGTTTCTCAGTTCAGCGGCCTTTCTGTTTTGCCTTTTGCTTTCTGACACCGGGCTGGTTTGCATTTTCAGCGCTTCCCCTCGCTGCTGCTTTCTCCCTCTGCTTAGGTTGAGGCAGGTTTCCCTGCGAAATGAGCCGGTCAAGGCCTCCTCTCCATAAACAGCTTTCTCTCGACCTTCTACCTTGAATTCTTTGACTCCTCTGGGGGGTTTAAGCAGTGGGTATGGTATGAGGTCAAGATCTGTCTCAAACGGCAGCCCAGTTTTCCTCTCCCCTTCACTGAAGTAGGCCTCTCCTCTCCTCCCGCTTCTCCTGCCAGGAGCATCAAAGCACCCGCCCCGACCAATCCGACCAACCCACCAACCGAGAGGTTGGGAGGCTGTGAGGGGAGCCTCGCTGATCCCCTAAGCGCGGCCTCCCCTTCTTCACCCCTGAGCACCCCATCTCTGGACCCCAGTTGCAGATCCAGGGGCTCCATAAGGACAGGGGCCGAGGGCCGTGGGAGGGCACCGAGGGAGGCTGCCTGAGCGGGTCCCTCCGCTGCCCCTGTACCCCAGCAGCTCCCCAAGGCGGGCGAGTGGGCAGTCTTGATGTCCCCGCTTCACACGCGGGAGAGGAGCACTCAGGGCAGGGAACGGTAGTTAGGGCTCTCTTTGTACGGCTGGGTCCAGTGATCCAGTGAAGACTCTAGCCCCCAAAACAGAAGGATCCAGAGCAAAAGGAAATCAGCCAGACTTCTGGGGCCCCTTGGGCTTCTGAGACACTGGGGGAGGGGGTTAAACTGAAGCGCCACTCAAACTGGGGAGAGTGGGGCGTCTCGGGAAGAATTTTCCTGGGCCAGGCCACTGGAGGCAGGGATGGCAATGCAAGCGGCACCTGGAGTCCAGGGCCCCCCACCCTCAGACCACAGGGGCGCCTTTCCCTGGTTTCTGGAAACCAAAAGTGCAGAAGGTCTAGAGAAATGCCAGGCCTCAGGCTCGCTGCCCACAGCTTCCTGGGACCTGGGACCCGCCTTCCCTCGGTCTCTGGTCACTTTCCTCCTGGACCCCTCCATCCCCAACCAGCTGGGCACGTTCCGGGGGGTCCCCGGGCCTCTGCTACTTCCAATACCTCCTGGAGCGGCAGGGTGCCAGGCTGGGTGGACCCTAGTGACTGAAGTGCTCCTGCATCTCTCTCTGGTCTCCACCAAAAAGTCACCTCCTCAGTGAGACCCTCAGTGGTCACCTTATCAAAAGAAGGCCTTTTAAACCTGGCATCCATGGCTCCATCTCAGAAGTAAGTGGGCCCATGGACAGAGACAGGAAAACAAAAGTGACAGTGGAGTTGTCCCTAACCTCTGGATGCAATTTGGCGTCTCCTTCAAGTACGACTGTAGGCAGCAAACCACAGAGGCGTTACAGAAGTCCCTGTGACCTTGTCACCAACAGACGTCACAGATATTTACAGATCACATTACAGACATTGCACATTTCTCTAAATATCTTTCATGCTCGTCACGACTTCAAAATCGTGGTCGTCATCGGACCCATTGCCACATCTTACCATGTAATACGCTAATAAAGTAGCACATTTATCCCAATTTTAAGAGACATTCTGCTAACTCTGTTTTATTGTCATTAGTTTCCACTGTAATCCTTTGTATTTTATTTGATTTGTCAAAACACATTATTCTAAAAATGTCAGGCGGTCCATGGGGTTAAAAAAAAAAAAAAAAGAAGGTTAAGGAGCTCGATCTGAAGCATCAGAGGCCCTCCTGCTCCCATCCCGCTGCATCCCCAGCCCTCAGGACAGCATCTGATGCGAGAGCAGATGCTCACTGGATGTTTGTGCAATAAATTGAGGGAGAGATGACTGTTCCCATTTTACAGATGAGAAAACTGGGACTCACGGAGGGGGGATGAGTCACCCACGTCACAGAGAGTTTAGGCAGGGCCAGAAAGGTTAGAATGTGCTGGAAGCCTGTGCCCCCACCACGTACGAAGGGCCTGCTCCTGGGGAGTGAGAAGCTCCCACTCTCACCAGGCAGCAAACCACAAGCCACCCCTGAAGTCATCGGCCCTTCTCAACAGTTTCCTCCCACTTCCCAGGCTTGGCACCTCTCCTCACAGGTGAGAGAGGGGGGAGGGGGGAGGGCAAAAGGGAGGGGCTGGGGCCTGGGGGCAGGAGTGGAAGGGAGGCAGGGGCCCCTGCGGACAAGGAGCAGCGGGAAGCTGTCTCCCTCAGTGCCCCTCGCCTCCCTCTCTGCCTGGTGGTGACCCCATCTCCCCACCTCTCCCCATCCTAGAGCAGGAAGCCAGGAAGACAGGGCAGGTGGGCAACTTGTGCAGGAACCTCAGGCAAACGAGCAAGCGGCCAGAAACCACTGCAGGTCAAGGTGCTCCAAGGGCTGGGCCCAGGAAGCGGGGAGAGGTCCTAGTCTGGAAGCAGCTGCCCCTTGGGGCCCTGAGTGACCCCCACACATTCCCGTCAGACCGGGGGCCCTGGACCAACCAGCACATACAGCCAGGTCCGGCTTGGGGCGAGTCCCTGCCCCTCTCAGATGGCCTCCTGTGTCGTAAGCCCCAACCACAGGTGGCTTCATGGACAGCAGGAGGGGACAAGTTTCAGAGGACCTCGGGCTTTTCTCAACGTTGGCCAACAAGCCCTCCGTCTCCGCTTTCAGCCGCAGCCTGTACACTGCACCCACTCATCTGTCCCTGATCTCTCTCCACAAGCTATGGCTTCTTTTTCCCCTGCTAATGGTAGCTCAGGAACTCCTGCTTTTCTCTTTGTCACCTAGGCTGGTGGCTGCCTCCTAGAGGACATTTAGGGAATTTGTGGTCTCTGGTCCTCCAGAGGTGGGAGGTGGGGGCGGAGGACCCAGATGTCCAGCACCGCCCAGGACCCTGTGTGTGAAGAACTTGCTGCGAAGAGTCTCTGAGCCATGAGCGTAACTCGATTTTACATGAAACAAAGAATTTTCTTCCCACGCTTTTAATATCTATTGAATTTTCCAGGATGGAAGACAGGTGTTTTTTTTAACTCTGCTAAGAATTGTCCACAACTTCAGACAACCATGCCATCGCAGCGATGCTGGGTTCAGACCTCGAGTCCCATATGCTCGGGCTGGCGGCATGCCCTGGTGGGCATGGCACTCTGCCAGACGCCCAAGTGCCCACTTGACTCACGGTGTAGTCTTGCCCAACATTTACATACTCAAGTGGATATTTGATCAAAAATCACTTTCCCCTTTTTTTTCCATCACAGCTATGGAATCAGATTTTGAAACTGCGCATCAGTGGTAGGTAGGTCACGTTATCTAAGCGTTTCCCTGTAGGGTGACGAAGGGGGCGGAGCAGAACATTCATTGTAAGAAGGGCACTGAGGCTGGTGGGGTGGGCACCTCGGCCCTAATCACCGCAGGAGACACCAACAAATGACTTGGTTTCTTTCCCTCCCTTCTCTTGGGCCCCACCTTCAGGCTTATCGTGAGGGCCCTGGGTGGTGGTGGTGTGTGTATGTCCTTCATGGAAAGCTATTTTCCTAGAATTAGGACAGAATCAAGGACTAGAAGGCAAGGAAACCGGCAGAAGCTTCCATCTGGCTTCTTTGTCTGGGCAGGAGTCGAAAGGCCAGGGAAAGGCTTGAGGTCCCAAACTCCAACCTGTCCCCACTCCTAAAGTGACCCATGGTCCGTGTCAATCACTGATCTGTCCTCTCGGTGGGAATTTCCCATCGGGCAACGCGGGTACAGCAGGCGCCCGGCTGCGTGCCACCGGCCCCGGGCACCCTCCTTCCCCGCTGCCAGCCGCCTCCACTTCTCCCACTCGACAATTCACACCTTCTGGGTTTCCCCCACCCCCGGTCAAACCACACCACAATCACAGAATCAGTGACTATACCGCTCAAAGGGACTTCAAAGATCTCCAGTAGCAGGCATTTGAAGTAACAAAATCTGCCACATGTATCCAGCTCTCGCTATGTGCCAAATTTTACACTTGTGCCCATTTCCTCAATCCTTACAAAGTCTCGAGAGGGAGGTATCATTGTTGGCCCTGTTATACAGATGAGAAAACCAAGGCACAGCAAGGTTAAGCCACTTGCCCCATGTCATCCAGCAAGGCACCGGCAGAGCTGGGATTGAAATCCAAGTGGGCTGGTTGTTGACCCCAGGCTGTTCGATGCCACGACCCTCTGAAGTCTGAAAGCCTTTGGCAAGGTCCCCAAGTATTGGATCTCCCATTCAGGCCCCTTCCTGTCCCCGAAGTCCCATGAGACTGACAGGGAAAAGGGCGGTGAGAACGGCTTACAAACTCAGGCCCCTGCATCTCCCAGACCAACAAGCCCAGTTTTGGCCTCCGAGAGCAAGCACTTGAACACGAAACAATGCCTGGGAAACCCACCTCTGTCCCCCGGGCCCTTCAGGGTAAGTGCAGGTCTGTGGGCCCAAGTGGCACAAAGAAGTCATTTTCTGTGCCAGAACGGCCAGCGGGCCCGCCACGCCCCTGGTAACTCAGGGGATCGGAAGGCCTCCTCTTTCTCCATCTCACCTCCCCAGACAGCGAGTAAGGTGCCACGTTCCGGATGCCTTGCCGGGCTCCCGGGCCCACACCTCTCCTTCTGCCTGCCTCAGGAGGGGGGTCACAGCTTCGGTGGGCCTCCCTCGGCCTCCCCCAAACCCTCGCACCGCCTGAGCCTGCACACCTGGCCACCGCCCCCAACTCAAGCTGCATCCCTGCGAGCCACCCCCGACCGGTGGCGAGTGACTCTCCCCACTCAGGGCTGCGGCTGGGATTAAGTTGCAAAAGGCCTGAGAGACTGGGGATGACAAAAGGGGCTTGGAGACTAATTAGGAGCAGCAATGAAAGCTTAATTCATAAAAGCAAACATTTTCCATCCATCAACCTGCAACCAGTTAAGCGTACCGTTTGAAAGAAATCTGTGCGCGGGGAAGGGAGCCAACAGGAACAGGAAATGTTTGAAAGAATGTAAACTATTTCAGTTTCATAAAAAGTAACAAGTAAACAGTTATTACATGCAAATAACGCCCTGGTTTTAATTAATGCTGAAAAGTCAAAATATGTTTGACATTTGTATGTATACACTGAACGGCTGGAGAGGAAAAAATGGTGCCCAGATGCCCGTTCCTGAGCAGTTCTGGCGGCTCAGAGGGAACTAAAACCTTGAGAAGGTCTTGTTTATTGGTGATGAAAAGTACAATTCTGCCTCGGCCTCTGTTGAGACTGGCGGCAGGGGGAACCTAGCTTACTTTCTTAAGGGAGCCGGAGGGGCAGGCTGGGGCTTGGGAAGGGCACTCCCCGCTTTGCAGCGGCTGGTCTTAAAGGGCCAGCGAGCCCTCAATTCTCCATTTCGCCTGGGGCAGGGTTTCTAGGACTTCTCCACCCAGAGTGATTATGGGTTTCAGGTCCCAGTAGCCTCCTACTCAACAGCCCCTGGGAGGCAGCCACAGTGGCAGCGATCCTGCCTTCCTCCCGCTGCGGGCAGGGTGGGGGACCAGTCTTGATTCTGGGGTGGGGATGGGCAGCTTTCGAGCTGCGCTTTCCGTCTCTTCTCAACCACCCTAAGGCTCAAAGGGCTGGGGAAACTGTGGCTTGGGGAGACCACAGCTGGGGAGAAGCAGCCTCAAAGCTCGAAGCTCGGGGAGATCCCACCCCCGTGGGGAGGGTGGCTGGGTGCTCAGGCCCCCGCAGACCAGCCATTTGTCTAAGCCAGCTGCTAACCCCGCCTGCCACAAAAGAACTACGAGACTCTTCACCAGCCATCTCCTCCCAGCATCTTTTATAAGGCCAGAAAGCTCAAAAAAGGGGTGACATGGATGGCTTTGAGGGTCAGTAAATCCAAGACACTGGGAGAGAATGGTGTCTTTCCCTGGCAAAGGCCCCTAACTTTCCTCACATCCTCAAAGGGGTCTGTAACACCTGCCATGGGGTTCCAACCCGCTGTGTTAGACCCAGTTGGGCCTGGAGCCCTTGTTTCTGGGGCTCCCACGGGGACCCCAAGGGCTTGCTCTCAGCTGCCTTCCCCTCCCCCCCCCCCCACCGCTGCCATTGCCAATGTCAGGGTGTGCAGTCTCCCTTGGGCTCACCTCGCCCACTGCGGCCCACGAAGCGAAGGTCGTTGAACCTAGCCACCTGGTTCTTCATGACCGCCGAGGCGTTGCGCAGTTCAGCAGAGTAGTTCTCGTCATTGCCTGCCATCACCGTCACCACCGTCCCATCCGGCACGTCCCCTAGCGCCACCACCTGAGGGCACAGGGGAGGGGGACAGCTTAGAGAGGTAGGGGAGGCAAGGGAGAGGTGGGGAGGGGCTGGGCAGCTCCCCTAGGTCCCAGGCGCACTGCAGGATTTCTCAAAGGCAGAGCGGACAAGAGGCTTAAACACAATGGACGACTTCCCCCCTCCCCCATATAACAAAAACAAGCAGCCCAGATCTCTGCCTTCCACACCCAAATCCTAGATCAACTGGTCCAGCCGTGTCCCGAGAAATTATCCTTTCCATGAAATCTGAGTGAGAGCTGCGAATGAGCTCTGTCGCTACGGCCTGGGTAGAGTTCCCTCTCTCCCCTTCGGCTTCCGCAAAAGAGGAATCAACATGCTCTTAGCAACCAAGTCTCTAAATAAAAATAATATCGGCAACAATCATAAGGGGACTGCGCCCCACGCTCAATTCATGCAAGAGCCGTTTGGGGATAGAAATTTGGTCCTAAAATGTGGCCCAGGCCCGGGTTATTGGCCTCTGCAGAGCCTGAATTCGTTATGCAGGGAAAATGCAAAATGCAAAACAAACCAGTGTTTAGAGAGGGGTTGTACAGAAAACCCCTTTAAAGTGAGAGAGGGGGCTTTTGATAGCAGGAGGGTGCACCTGTTGGGAATTGCAGGGTGGGGCTGGAGAGGCCTCCCTAACACGGTCTCCCCCGGCCCTCACCCCATCACCCCAAGCAGCAGGGAGAGGCAGATGCCTTTTGAAAAGGAATCAGACTGCAAATACAGTCACAGCCACTTAAACGTGGCCACCGCGTGCAGGGACTAAGGGATCCAGATGGTAAAAATTTCAAGGAGAAAATGTTTGGGGTCTGATTAAAAAGGCCAGATTTCCTGTCAACATCCTGTCTTCTTTTAATTTCAAAGATTCCTTTTAAGCTCCAAGTGACAGTAAAACCTCCGATCTGAGGATTAAAGTCACACGGGCCCCCCCTCCCCCTCCCTGCCGGGAGATTTTCCCCACTGGCATTTTAAGATGTCACCCGGGAGACCTCCAAGAGCCACTCATCTTTTTTTTTTTTTTTTTTTTCCAATTTGGAATCGTCTTAATGGGAGTAAAGACGGCCTCAGCTGCCAGGAGCCACGGTTTCCAGCCACCTCGGGCACCCCCTCCCCGCCCCCCCCGGCCCCCCCAGCCGCTGGCCCTTCCTGCCCTGCCCTTTCTCACGGCAGCTGTGAGAGGTTTAGGGGAAAACCAAGGCGTTTTCGTTTCATCTCGCTGCCCCCTTAAAAAAATGAAAATGAAACAGTCGCCTACTCCCTAGCAAAGAAAAAAAAAAAGATCCTCTGAATGGCTGGGGTCTGCCAGGGGTGGGAGCGCCCCCCATTTCGGCCTGACATTCGGGATTCCCGCCGCAACGGTTTAGGGTTCAGTGGCCCCTTCTCAGCCCTAGAGTCGCCCGGTGTAAAATTTCAGAAGCCAGGGGTTGAGGGTGTGAGCAGGAAGTGTTTCTGAAGCGGTGCAGGAGGAGGGGTGCTGGCGGTGAAGGGTAGGCCCTATCCACCCTCTGCACCCCACCTCCGGTGTCCTCGCCCCGCTCCCGGGGCTCTTCTTCCCCTCTGCCTGCAAGGCTGTGTCCGAGGGGTCCGGACCGGAGAGGAGCGAAGCCCCATCCGCCCGTGTCCGCAGCAACGTCTTTCAGCGGGGCTCCCCGAAGGTGGAAGGGGCAACCCTCCCAAAAGTCACCCGTGTCGGGTGCCTCTGAGAGACAACGCCAAGGTCCCCCAGGCGGAGCGCGCAGCGAGACCGAAAGCGCCCTGGGCCCGGCTGCTGGGCTCTCGCCGCGGGGTGGCGGGCACGTCCCCTCCCTTCCCTTGCCTTACCGGGGCCCTGCCTCCTGCAGCTCGGACGCCCGGACCCCCCGGCCCAGGCGCCGCCCGCCCCGGGCCCAGCACTCACCTTGAACGCGACGGGTAGCGTCTTGTTGCAGCGCCAGTGCGAGGGCAGCACGGAGCAGAGGAAGTTGGGGCTGTCGGTGCGCACGAGCTCGCCCGCGTGGTCCGCCAGCACGTCCACCATCGAGCGCACCTCCGGCCGGGTGCGCCCGCCGGGCCCCACAGCCGCCTGCGCGCTCAGCGCGCCGCTGTTCTCGCCCATCTTGCCGCCGCCGCCGCCGCCGCTGCCGCCGCCGCCGCCGCAGGGGAAGGCCGTGGAGGGAGGTGTGAAGCGGCGGCTGGTGCTCGGGTCTACAGGAATACGCATAACAGCGGCCGTCAGGGCGCCGGGCGGGCGGCTGCGGCGCGGCTCCCCCGGGGGCGGCCGGCGCGGGCGCCTCCTCGGCCGCCGCTGCCGCGAGAAGCGGGAAAGCAGAAGCAGCCGGGTCGGGGCCTCAGGGCGCAGGGGGCGGCGCCCGGGGACGCCCCGCCGGGGCCCGCCCGCAGCGAGGCCTCGCTGCCCCGACGGCCGCGCGCAGCCTGCCCGCTAGCCCCGCATCCCGGGCTCCGGGCCCCGCGTGCGGCCGCCCCTCGCGGCCGGACGTCTGCCTCGACCCCGGCGGGGCCCGCGCGGGCTGTGCCGCCGCCGCCGCCCGCCCCCGCAGCCCGCTCGCGGCCGCCCCACAGACTGCGCGGCCGCAGCCCCAGAACAAATCCTCGAGAATCAAGTGGCGGCGCCGCGCGGGCCCGCGCGGGGTTAGTATCCCGGGGCCCGCGGGGGCGGGGCCGGCCCGAGCGACGCGTCGCGCAGCCAATCGGAGCCCCCATCGGCGGCACCTCGGCCGCGCTCGTGGGGGAGGAACGCGGACCGCCGAAGGCCGCCCAGCGGGGAGGGGCGGAAGGCCCCGCCCCAGGGAGGACGCCCGCGTTGGGGGCCCGGCGCGTGAGCCCAGGGCTCCTGGAGAGTTCTGGGGCGCCGGGGCCAATGCTAAAAATTTGGTTAAAACGCCCGGGACGCTACAGAGGGCTCCTTTGCCGCTGTCTCCAGGGCCGCGGCTCCCTGATGCGCGGGCCGCAGGTCCCCTTCTCGCGCCCTTTCCCCGCTGCCAGTGGCGGCACCTTCCCAGCCCCAGCTGCTTTTGGCTTGTGATGCCTGCACTCTCAGCTGGGGGACACGGGGGCTCCAAGGCCGGTGACATCGAGCGGCGAGCTGCCCAAAAGAGGTTTCTCACCCTTCCCTGCCCCCCTCCCGCAAATTATTTGGACCCATGAGCTTGCACCGCACACGAGAGTCCGCGACCACCGGCGGCCTCTGCAGCTCCCAGCCTAGCGCGGCTTTGGGCCCGGCCTCTTTGGCCCCGTTGCCAACCGGAGACGGACGGACGGGTGTCCCCTGCGGGGCCCTATCTGGCTTGGGGGCGACTAACCCCGTTTCCTTTCCCCTCTGCCCTCAATACAACTTTCAGTACCGTGCAGGCCTCGCCTCGTCGCTCTTCGTTGTGGCGGCCTGTGATTCTTTGAAAAGCACGATGGGGCCTGAACAACGCGAGGGTTTCCCCCTGCTTTTTGCCCGGCGCGTGCAGCCGCGGTTCTGCCTGGTGCAGAGTCCACGGCCAGAAGGAAAGTGTGCGGAGGACGCGGGAAGGGCTGCCAAGCTAAGGGCGCCGGCTTCCAGAGGAGGCAATTTTCTTCCTCCCTGCGGATGCACGCTGGCCCCCGCGGGCCCACGGCCTCTTCTTCCCAGGCGGTGTGCTGCGGGCGCGCCGCGGGGACGCAGCCGGCTCTGCCTAGGCACTGTGGCACCGCTGCCCAGCGACTCCCAGGGCTTCACGGCAGACAGCCCTGTCCTCTCCCGCCCCCTAGGCCAAACGAGCGGGCCTAGGGAGAAGCTGCGGCGGGGAGAGGACCCGTAAAGAAAAGATCGAGCCCCCCCATCCATTCTGGATTATCGCCCCAGATGCGCTCCCTGGAGTCTAGGGAGCGAACGAACTGAACGGGTGCCGAATCTCCCCGCCGCATTGGAGACTGGGCTGAATATTCGTTGCTCCCGAGCCTGACAGGTGCAGAACGACGAATTCCAAGCCTCGGAAGCAAAGAAGTATAGGATTCGAAGGTGGCCGCAGGATCGCGCCCCAGATCTGACCCTGGCCCAGTAAGCGCCATTTCGTGCTCTCCAAACGAATTCAAGGCCCTCGTGTGCCCCAGGGGAGACAACAGGCTCTGGCCCAACCTCGACCACCTGGAGAGCCGGTCCCTGCCCCCGTCGCAGCCTCACATCAGCCCCTCCGGCCATTTCGGAGGTGGGACCATCGAAGGACCCTGCGGGATCTTTTAACAGAGCCTACGTCTCCGAGTTGCAGATCGCGAGGGTCAAGGCCCTTGCACTCTCGCGAGCGCTGGCAGTAGCTGCAGAACCCAAAGAAATCGAGGGACCAGGGCCGGGGCACGTCCGACCTCTGGGAGCTTCCCGCCTAACGGCCTACCACGTCGTGGCCAGGTAGGGCCCAGGGCCAGGGAGGGCGGGCGTCGCGCGTGGCCCTGGAGCGGCTGTGGGGGCCAGGACCCGCTGCGTCTGGGGTTTGTAAATTTGATTCGTCTAATGGTTTCGGTTTGCACCCGTGCCATTACTTGTCCCTCCGCCTGATTTCTCCCTTATCCTACGGTGCCAGGTTTACAAACGGGTACTCGGAATATGCGGTTCCTGTGGGTATCGGCACCTGCACAGAATCCAGTGTGCGTCCAGCCCTCGAGGGAGGGTGCTCACCGCGGATGGGCCCGCCCGAGAACCAGGGGACGCTTGGGTCTCCAGCCTGCGGTCGGCGGGGGCCCGCCGGGCCGGGAGCAGTTTCGGGAGCCACCGCTAGTTGGCGCCTGCACTCTGCCCGCCGCGGAGTTGCCAAGCCCTGCCCGCAGATGTGCGCCAGCTGCAGTCCCGGGTCCAGAGGCTCGCCTCCTATGTCCTGCCCTTTCTGGACAGATGTGCGGCACAATTCCTCACCATCTGTGCGACCGGGACAAACCAATGGCTTTGTGTCAGACGGAAGGCTCCCCTACCTGCCCCTGATGGCCACAGACGCCTGCTGCCTTGGCATCCCTGGCTCCCCAGGGTCCCTGTGCCCTCCAAACCACAGAACATTCTCCCTGCCAGAAATGCACAGTTGCTTCCTGTCCCATTCTTAGGGGCCACTGGGTGAGGAGGACAGAGGAGGAACAGCCCAGCGCCTTCCCAATTTCTGCCAGTGGCTAACCTACATCCTCTCCATCCCGACTGGCAGACTTAGGGTCACCTCTCTCTCCCTCCCCCACCCCCCGTGATGTTTCAAGAGGCAGTCAGACAGCTCCCACTCCCTTACATGGGAAACGTGGATACCCTCTCCCTTCCCCATCTTGTAGGGACAGCCACCTCCTTTCCCTCTTCCAGTGGACCGCTGTACAAATCTGCTTTTTCTTAAATGGCTCTCACCTCCAAGGGCACCCTAAATTGTCCACAGCAGGGCTAAGAAGCCAGGAGGTCTGGGCCTACCTTGGCCCAGAGCTGGGGCCCACAGAACTCAGGATCTGAGGGCCACTCCTCCCGCCAGCATCCTCTGCCCCTGGGAGTGGGATGCATGGGGTCAAAATAATCCTTCAGCAGGGCACCCTCCTCGGGCTGCCTGAGGGTGTCTAGGAGTGTGATGGGGGTAGAGAGGTGCCTGCTTGTGCCTTCCCACAGGCCAGAGAGCTTACAAGGGCAGGTCTGACTCCCTGAGAGTCCAGTGCCTGGGGAGGGATCAAGATCTCCCCCCCCCCCCAAGTGTGCCAGGCCCTGGACATACGTGATACGGAAAGGCTTCTTTTTTTTTTTTTTAATTTTTTAAATGTTCTATTTATTTCTAGGAGAGAGAGAGACAGCACGAGCAGGGGGGGTCAGAGAGAGAGGGAGTCACAGAATCTGAAACAGGCTCCAGGCTCTGAGCTGGCAGTCAGCACAGAGCCCGACGCGGGGCTCGAACCCACGAACCGCGAGATCATGACCTAAGCTAAAGTCGGACGCTTAACGGACTAAGCCACCCAGGCACCCCAATGATACGGAAAGGCTTCTAAGAAGCTCACTGGTTGTGGAAGGAGCCTGGCTCTTCAGTTCCATGGCCTCCATTTGTCTTCTTCCACCACCCACTGTGATGGAGGGAGAATCGCTTCAAACCTGTCTGACTCTTGTCTATTCCTTCTGTAAAGTAGGGATGGTAATAGCGGTGTCCTCACAGAGATGTGTGAAAGGTGCGTAACATAGGCCTGGCACATAGGGGGTGCTGCCTCCATGCGAGCGATCACTGTTGTGATAAATAAGGCCTGATCGCCCCTTGTCAGAGCCTTCGGCAAGTCTCTTCCTCTTTGTGGGCCTCGTACTTCCCATTTGTGAAATATCCAGATCTCACGTTCAAAGCTTGCCAGGTCTCAGAGCCTAGTCCACGGCTGCGCTGTCACCCTTGGTTTGCCTGAAGGCTGCCCCGGGGAGGTAAGGACCGTCTGTGACCTGCCTCCAGGCAGAGGCAGCTTGCAGGAGGGTCCAGGAACCATCACAGGGAGGCCTGAACCTGGATCTTGGCAAGACTCCCCTTCGTTCCCCCAGACCCTCACTCTGGAAACCCGTTGGCCCCCACCCCCAGCCCCCTACAGGCAGATACTCTCTTGACTAGGACCTGGGCCTTGCTGACGCTGTTAGCCGCCTCCCCCTCCCCAAGGACCTTGTGCTCCCTTTACTCTGAGTCTCAGGGGAGCCTAGTCCAGTTACTAGCGGAGGACTGTCTTCTAGAAGTTAATCATTTCCTCCAGTCTGGCCTCCACACCCTCACTCTGCAGGGACCCCTGGTGACACCCTCCTTCCTGGCGGCCTGGAGCTTAAGGTGGCGCATTTCTGTCCCTCACGGAGCCTCAGTTTCCTTTTCTGTGAATGGAGGTGGTTCTGATTGCTCCGTTTCATAATCCAGAAGATTTAAACACTCCCCCTAAAAGGGGGGGGGGTACTGTGTTTCACCACATCCAAAATGTCATCAATCGTTCCATGTGAAAGAAAAAGGAAGAAAATCCTGCTAATTAAACCAAGACTTGCCTGCATCCTAATTTCAAATATGTGTGTTTGTGCATTTATATCATTACATACACACATATGTGAGTTAGTGACAAAGGGTCATGAAAACCAGCAATAATATGGCCAAGGGATTGTTGCTGATGGGGTCGGGAGCCCTTATCCCCAGAGAATTCCTTCTGGGCAGCCTCTCTGGAAGGCTTCTGAATGTGCAGAAGGACTAGTGTGCTTCTCAAATTACAGAGTA